TTTTATAAAAAATAACAGATTACCTCATAGTTGGGTGCTGTTGATAAGTAGGATTTTTTTTACTGGAAACTTTGGAATAAAACAAACTGACCCAAGGGTTGAAAATAAATATTTTTATTTATTTTCTTTAGAGTGATGAGTTCTTTGGTATTCGGCATAGGAAAATGTTAATAAGGTGGATATTGGTAGCAGTCTGGGGAAATGTCTTTTTCAATCTACTGTGTTTTTCTCAGCCCTGAGCAGGGCAGAAATATCATTAGCAGATGACCTCTTAACTACTTATTCACTCATCATCCATGGCTGGTTTCTCCAAGGTTGCATCTTCATCCATCACTCTCACTGTCTATTCTGCTTCTAGCTTAGAAATCTCAGTTCATATCCGTTTTGGCCAGGTTCTGAGACTCTGACGTGAACATTGGTTTCAGCTAACATCAAAAGTCTCATTGTGTTATTTTTTTTCTGGTGTTCATTTTTATCATTTTCTTTTTGTAATGGAAGTTATGCAAGAAGCCTCCCTTATTACAAATAATTAGGCTCTGATCCTGAAAACCTCCAACATTTTTCAGTCAGGTTCAGTTTTCCTTCTTCCTCTAACTGATTTTCTCTATGACATTTTTCTACTCTCAAACAAAACATGAATTTTTTACTATGAGCTAAAAGATGTGGAGAGTCATAATCTCCCAAGTCCCTAAGTGGATAAAAAAACTACATTTATACAAAATTACAAGGTGACTGTCTTTGGTGTATAATTGTTAATAAATTTAGACACTTTTATGGTAGGCAGAAGTGGGGTTTATTTACATTTACATTGTTTGGAATGTTGTCCTCATCTTTATCGCTATATTCATGATGTTTCAGCCATTGTATGTTCTGGCCTTCTTCATGTGATTGGAATTTCAAATTGAACCCTTTATTTTGTCCACCGAGGTAGATTGTTCTAGTTTCACATCCTCAAGAACACATGGCCCAAAGGATAAAAGTGTTTGTTGTATCTTGACCCAAATAGTACTGCAGTGGTGAACAAAAACTTGGAGAGTTCAGTTAAAGGAAGGTAAATGAGACATCCAGATGAGGCATGGCATGTGGAACTAGAACAATCTAACTCGGTGGATGAAATAAAGGGTTCAGTTCAAAATTCAAATCATCTGAAGAAGGCCTGAGCATAAAATGGCTAAAATGTTGTGAATATGGCAATAAAGATGAAGACAGACGTCTGAACAGTGTAAATATTGTAAATAACTACGATACCTCATCACAGAAATATAGACAGATATAGAAGTGGGTTTAATTTTAAATCTTTACTGTTAAAACTGCTAAGTGTAGCCATAAGTTCTATTCTAATAGTTTCTTTTCTTGCACTTCTTACCTGTGGAACTTCACTGGATTTACAGCCATGTTACATTAAAATACTGCTTCTCATACGTTCACTGAAGTTAAACAACATCAGGCCTGATCAGTACCTTAATGGGGGACCACTTTTGAATGTTGTAAGCTTGGATGTGCAGATGGCATAATGAAGTGATTCCGAAACTTTTTTCTCTGGGCTGCATTTTTGGAATGAAAATTTGCTAGCATCTTAACAAATTTTATGTGAGGAAAAGTATATTAAAAAAAAAAAAAAAAAAAAAAAAAACACAGATGAGGGTAAAGGGAGATAACTGTGGATTTTGAAGTTAAAACATTATCATTGATAATTCTCTCACCTCCAATTTGCGAATTCTAGTTACTATATTCTTTATACTTGAGATAATGCAAAAATATCCCAATGATAAAATCAGGCAATAATTATTTATAACTATTTATTCTGATGCATGCATGCAAAATTACAAGTAATCCATTATAATATTTTAAATTTTGAAATCATGAATTTTTTTAAACTGTTTCTAAATCTTTGTCTTTCAATCATTCCACCTCATCTGCTATTTTCTTTTGTCGCACATATGAGGCACATCACCCTGTTTGGGAATCACTGGTATAATGGATAATGGCTCAGAATTGGAAATCAGAGAAACATGTTCCAATTCCAGTTGGGTTCATTATATTCACAGATAAAAATACCCTTGGAAAAGGTATGAATCCACCTCTTTTCCTCCTAGCTATAAGTTAATTAGTAAGACTTGTATTAGTAAATCATATAAATAATCTGCAAAAGGTTGACAAACAATAAAAAACAAATAAATCTGTCAATTACTCTTGCTTTCCTGTCAATTATTATCTTCAAAAATTGAAATGCAACATCAAACATCATCTTCTGTTTCTTTGAATCTTGCTCATTTATTGTCCTCTCTTTTTTTAAAAAAAATCATTCCGCCTCTAGCAAGGCAATGAAGCCACTACCATGTTTGTTTTGGTTTCTTTTGTTTTATGGCATATCAACCTCAATGGGTTATTTAATGCCAACAAGATTTTTATTGCTGGTAATTTTTTTTTCCTTCAAAAATATATTGCTATAATATTTTTTTTCTTTAAAAACCTATTAAAAAAATGTATAGCTGGTTTGGTTTGGTTTGGTTTACAGTGTATCAATCTCAATGGGTTATTTAATGCTGACAAGACTTTTATTGCTGGTAATATTTTTTTTCAAAAATGTATTGCTGATAATAATTTTTTTACAAAGTATTTCTAGTATTAAAACCTATTTTTACACTTTCATAGTGTTTTAACCCCAGTTTGGGGGTCAGCTATTTGCCCATAGCTGGGATCCTAACAGGTGCTACCACCATAGGTCAGGGTGGACCTGGGAACACCAGCAATTAAGAGGTGGTTCCACGCTCCTTAAAACCTCCTGATAAATTACCTCCAACCTTACAGTTGGATGCAGTTTATCGTTTTACCCAGGACACAGATGAAGTTTATCGTCATACCCAGGACACCTTAATATGCAAGTGGCTACTAAGTGTTTATGAGTATAATAATGAAACACTATTAAGGAGAGAGAATAATAAAAAACCAAGAATAAAGAAGATAACAATTGACATTGCATTTAAATCAATGAAACTCAAAGTTGACTGAAAGCTAGAAGCTGAAAAAGAGTTCTACAAGGGAGAAATGTGACAGAAGAAACTGCTAACATAGACTTTATGGATACACCTAGTCATTTCAATTGTAAAATGATGAGATCTTGCTGTGAATCTAATACTGCACTTGAATTTATAGTCTAGGAACCACAGCGGTGAGTTCATCAGAACAATTACCATGAAAGTATTTATAGAAAAGGCACAGGGAAGTTACATCATGTCATTGGAAACTGACTGAAAGTGAGATGCCAGGTCAGAACCAGTAACATTGCAGATTCTTCTTTGTATTATATCAAGAATCTCTAAATGTATGGCAGGATCACCAGACCAACAGTGGCAGCAAAATTCAAAGCCAGGATGAATAGTATGAACCAACTTTGCCAGACCTAGCACCTAATTCAATATAATCTTTCCACTTTATGTCAGCAGAAAATATTTACCCAAGAAGGTATGATGAATCACTCTCCTGGTGGTTAGCATCAGTCATGCTGATGGAAGGTAGAAAATGGTCTCTCAGATGATTGATAGAGAGCAATTTTGTTTCAGAGGTATTAAAATTAACAAGATATTCCTTACCTCACTCTACAGCAGATTGTAGGCTCTTTTTGAGATCAGCTGCAAATTTATCAAGTGGCCATTCGGGATAATTTTCATTTTGTGATTTGATAAGAAAGACTGAATCAGTTAAAAAAATCATCCAGGAATACCATAACCTTTCAACTTGTGAATAAGTCCAGTATGCCAAACCCTATCAAATACTTTGAAGATGTCCAAAGCACCAGCCCGAGCTTCATCATTTTTATCTAAAGCTTGATAGACTCTTTTTCATCATTAAAACATCAGCAGTTGACCTAGAGAAGTGAAAACCATGTTGCTTATCTGAAAGTAAGCTCTGTGATGTGAGATGCGTAACCAATTCAGAGTTGATAAGGGTCTTTAGTAGTAATAGGCCAATAGAAGAATTAGAAGGTTTGCCTGAGTTCTTAAAGACTGGAACTACAGAAAAAGATTTCCAACAAGCTGTGAAGCAAGAGGCAGAAACACATTTATTGTAGTCTGGAGAGAACAGAAACCAATTCAGGAGTACATTTTTAAGGACTATTGCAGGTATATCATCAAGTTTGCTTGGGTTGAAGTGATTAAAAAAAGGCTAATGATGAAAAAACATTTTATTTTAAATAACTAATATTTTTCAACATAATCTTCTTCGTCAATGCACTTAATCATTTTTGCTCTTTACGGATTTGTACCTCAAAGTAACATTTGTTCATTGTCATTCCTCCTAGTCCCTGCTCCAATTGTTAAGGAGGTTATTCAAAGTTTCCCTTGCTTTCAATATGCCCTGTGAATGTCAAATTCTCCAAGCCCTCTTTCTTCATTGTTTCCCAGAAATTCTCACTGTAAGGCTTGCATTAATTCCTGATAATCTGTTTCTTTCTGATTTTCAGTATGCAACTAAAAGATTGAAGGCTGAATGTTGCTGAGACAAATGCTAAGTTGAAAATTTTTAAATTCTGTATTAAATCATGTGATTCAAGGGATGTCTGAATGATGTAATGCTTGGAGGGACACTGAAGTAATGGATAGTGGCTCAGATTGAGAAATCGGAGAGCTAAGTTCAAATGCCACTCAGATCTATTATGTTCACTTACGTGCTCATACCCTTGGGAAAGGTATAAATCCTCTTCTTCTCCCTCCAGCTATGGCTAAATAGCAGGACAGGGTTCTGTAGCCTTGGGTGGCAACCAGTCTAAGAGAAAGTAGCTATGAATTCAAAACTGTATGTAGTGCTGGCATAGCACATAGTATACAGCTAAAGAAAGTATCTTTCACATTGGCTTGATGATCCCGACTATGGTCAAATAATGATGATGAATGGATAGTGGCTCAGACTGAGAAATCAGAGTGCCGAGTTCAAATTCCAGTTGAGAAATTTACATTCACTTACACACAAATACTCTTGAGAAAGGTATGAATTAGGCTTATGGCCATCTCATGTTGAAACACTGGTTCCTGTATGATTACCAAAGTTAAGCAATGTTGAGCCTGGTCAGTACCTAGAAAAGTGACCACTTGGGAATACCAGGTACTGTAAGCTTAGATAATGGCTTGGAATGAGAAATTGGAGAGATGAGTTTTAATTTCAGTTGAGTTCATTATATTTACTTACACACAAATACCATTGGGAAAGGTATAAATCCACCTTTTCTCCCTCCAGATATGGGTTAATGTTACTAATTAACATTTCTCATGTCACTAAAATCATTATCCTTAGAATCTAAAATATTTTCTGGCTTTAAATAACCTGCAAATAGATGGCAGAACAAGGCTTAGGAGAAATAACAGAAAGACAAAGTTTATTAAGAGCTACAATGAACAGGAAGTTGTGGAGAGCTATGATCGATTACATCATAAAAATAAATATGTATATGTACAGAATGTCAGACCTGGGTAGGGGCACCAATAGACCAGTCGTATCAAGGAAGTTTAACGCACTATTCTATCTCAATGAATATCCTAGTTGGTGACGGCTGAGCTTAACCGTGACCACTTGTCATGATATGATAATCATTAACAAGGTTTCTCCATTTTTCTATTGTGTTTCTATTATTTTTACCGTTTTTATGTTTCCAAGTCTTTACCCATTCCACAGTTAGCTGTACAAGACTGACAAATTGAAAATATGTCAGTACAACTTTTTCAAACTTGGCATCTTGTGGTTCCACGATCATTGACCTAAAAAAGCATTGGTCAGAACAAATTCAAACTTAGACCTTTTCTTTGAAAATATTTTTAAAGAATCTATATAATGTTCATTTTTTTATTGCTTTAAATTTAAGTAGAGCTTTATTTTATTTCTGATTAAATTTAAGTACAGCTTTATTTTATTTTTTGATTTCCATAATTTCCAATTATGGGTAAAATTTAAAAAAGGTAGACGCAGATAATTTTTTTTTCTTTTAGACATATAATGGTCATTCAACTGATATTATCAGTGAATGGAAAAACACAGAAGAGGAGAACAATTAATTATAGAACTGGAGTAGTATTGTATTTGGTGCAGCTCTACCATAGGTACATATGCCACTCAGTGTTTTATACATCTAAGAGAGTAAACTTGTATGTTTCGGTAAGGGTAAAATGATAAAGTCCAGTTCACAAGGGGTCAAGCTGATTGACATGTTTTTAAATCCATGCCACAAAACATCTTGCTAAGGGAGGGGAAGTGCTGAGACCTTATTTTCATGTTTATTTTTTTTTCACAAAAATTTGCCCTTTAAACTTAGGGTGCATCCATTACGTCGGAGCGTCCTTGATGCCTGCAAATACCATACCATACATAATATTAATAGTATTTTTTGTTCTAAAGAGTTGACTATAACAAACTCTCTGAACAAAGAAACAGACACTTGAATCAGTAAAGTAGGCCAGGCACACGGGAGACTCTGCAACAGAGTGGTCAACCAGCACAACATATACTTGTCATTGAAACTGAAAGTGTACAATGCAATGATTCTCTCTTTTCTCCTCTAGTAATACAAAATGTGGACCTTGTAGTGCAGATATATCAAGAAATTGGAAAGTTTCCACAGACGGGCTCTTTGGTTCATACATGGAATCACACTGCAGGATTGTATCACCAACCTTGGAATTTTGGACCATGCAGATTCAACCAGTATCTTATTGATGTTTATCAAAAGCATAAGTCCAATGAACTGGCTATGAAAATTGCAAGAAGCAACATTGCATTCCTAGATGCCTGTTTTATGGAAAGCTGCTATGTGGCAGAAGACATCAAGGCTGACCAAAGAAATGGTACAAAGACACAATCAAAACTGACCCCCACTGGTGCAAGATGAAACCAAAAGAGCTAGGAATGTGCTGCTAATTGTGTTGGCATGTCATTGTCCAAAATGCAGACTCCAAAAGAGCCTGGTGACAAAAAAAAATCATTACACAAAATAGAACAGCACCACTGTGCAATATTAACATTGTTCATAGTCACTGACTTCCAGTTTCCCCACTGCTCCAGACTGTGTCTATCCAAACTGAGTTTGCAGAGCCACCTCCAGACTCACTAAGGAATTGGAAAATAATAACTTCTTACCCAAATGACAAACATATGACAAATTCTTTAATAGTGTGGATAAAAAGTAGCCTTTGAACTTTCTAGGCATGCCTTTAAAGTTAATACTTTGCAAAAGATTTCTTGCAGGACATCGTTCAGTATTAAATATTTAAATTAGTATATTGACTAAATTAGTTCACATAATAAATTTAGGATGGAGATTGATAGCTGTATAATTTTTGAGTATTTGCTGTGACACTGATTATGTAATCATGTGATGGGTGAAGGAAAGTTTTGATGTATTTATTTTAAGAATCTTACCTGTGTCATTAAATGTTATATAAACAACTAATTTTAAATTAATTTCCATTGCATTTCTATTGTAAGATAATTTCTAATAAATTTCCAGTGATTTTTTTTTTTACAATGCTCTTCACCTTATACAAGGCCCTAGAGCCACTCGAGGTAGAGGGCTACATGGTAAGAGGCACAGTTTATAGAGATATGTGGGGAAGATAATGATTAACTCTAGACTTGTACATGTTAAGATTGTACGGATTAGAGAAACATCCTCTTGGGATTCATTTCCACAAAATAGTGAGAATGAAGGTGGTTCACTACTTAGCTGTGGAGGTTAAAACTGTTGGAACTAAGGAATATAGTTCATTGGAACACTTTCCATAGCAATAGTAATAGAGCAGCAAGAGATTTGTGACCCTTCTTCTGTGTGAAGTGGGGTTGTAGGGTGGAAAATAATTCATCACCCACAAGGACGTGGAGACACGTTTGGACTTTATCAAGACTAGAAAGTGACATCTGGGCAGCTCAGGCCCAGTGTATTTTTATAGTAAAATAATTTCTAGTGTTTCCTATAATAAAATAATTTAAAGTGTTTTTCTATAGTAAAATAATTTCTAATGCATTTCTACAGTATGATAATTTCCAGTTTTCTATATTAGAATAAGTTTTCATGGATTTTATATATATAATAAATATTTGCCATCTAATAACAGATATAATCATCACAGTGAATGATCGTCCTGGGTATGTGTTATGGAGTGATTTCACAGTGGAGGCTTGTATTTGTAACTAGTCGGTCCTAGAATAGGTTCAACGTACAAAACGTTAGGAACTTCATATGATAGGTATGACACAGAGTAATCTAGTGGTGGTCGCTGACACTTTAGTATCCGACTAACGGTCGTCCGGCATCAACTGACTGACCAACTCACTGAGCGACCCACTTGTTACTCTTACTACTCCTACTTATTATAGGTGGGAGAGTCTATTAACTATAGAATGGGTGTGTCCCACTATAACAGTATGACAATAAACTACATCCAGCAGCAAGGCATCTGATCAGGAGGTTTTGAGGAACGTGGAACCACCTCTTAATCACTGTTGTTCCCAGGTCCACCATGGCCCAGGGTGATAGCAACTGTTTGGGTCCCAGCTATGGGAAAAATAGTGAAATTAGAAAAAATTAACAGTAATACATTTTTATCGTATATAAAAAATAAAAATTACCAGTAGTACATTATTTGGAAAATAAATTACCAAAGCTCAAAAGGAAATTAAATTTTAGCTTTAAATGACCCATAAGGAGTTGAGATGTTGTTAACGAAATGAAACCAAACCAGAGTGAATAAAACTTCCAAACATTTGAAGACGTCTAACAAAAACAACAACAACAAAATAGGATAGCAGATGTAATTAGAAGGTGAAATAATAGTATAATGTTTCTGCCTGAACTCTGAATTGTTTCTCACTAATTAATTATCTTTAACTTCCTCCTCCAATAGGAATAGATAGGCTCTCCTATCATCCTGTTCATACACCTTCTGATTTTTTGAGTGGGAGTAGAAGTTTGTCCTTCGTTTCCTGTTTAAGATTGGGTTTCTGAGTCCTTCAACCCTGTACGTCTAATGTCTCTGCCTGAAATCTGAAATGTTATTCAGTAATTATTCTTATTTTTCCCTTCTCCCAATAGGAGTCGATACGTTTGCCTATCGTCTGGTGCACACACCTCCCCAGTTTTTCGAACAAGAGTAGAGGTTCATACCTTGTTTCATGTTTTAGATGGAGTTTCTAGTCCCTTCTAAAGTTTACTTCAACTCTATACTTCTAATATCTCTCCCTAAAATCTGAAGTTTTATTCACTAATTAAATCTTGACCTCATTAAGTCTAGAATTAGCTATCTTTCTTGATTTCTTACTCTAATAGAACTCCACACAGTAACACTCTAGCTTGGGTCACCCTTGGGCCTTGTATTAGGTGAACATTAGTTTGGTTTATTTTGTTTTATGGCATATCAACTTCAATGGGTTATTTAACACCAACAAATTTTTAGGATAGGTTTGTATGAATAGAATATGTATTCTTTGTAAGAAATCAGATTGTAGGTCAGGCTTCATTGACATATTTTAGTAAAGAGGGTTTTTGTTGTGAGTCAAATCTATTGCTGGTAATATTTTTTTTAAATGTATTGCAGGTATTTTTACTATAAAAATCTATTTTTATACATTCATAGGGTTTTGCTTCCAGTCTGGGGATTAACTTTTTGCCCATAGCCAGGATCCTAATAAGTCAGTGTGGATCTGGGAATAACAGCAATTAAGCGGTAGTTCTATGTTTCTCAAAATGTCCTGAGAGGCCTTGTTGCCGGATGTAGTTTATTGTCATAGCCAGAACATGTGAACATTAGTCAAAAAAAAAAAAAAAATTAAAAAAAATAAAAACACTTCTAACCCTTTCCCTGTCAATTATTTGGAAAAAAAAATGTTTAATTTTCTGACAAAATTTTTTATGTTTTTAATATAGTAAGTAAGAAAGTGAGGCACTTTGAAGTATCCAAGATGTATGTGTTCACAATTGAACTTGTTTCAAGCTCAGAAGTGCATAAAATGAATCAAGATTGACATATAAACAAGTCTGTAGCTGGTTTTTGAACCTTTTGTTTTAGATGTGTTTATTCATTCATGTCTGAAAAAGACACTTTTGGTAAAAACAGATATAGACTTTTACTT